AAAAAAAAAAAAAAAGAAAGAAATCAGAGTACAGATCTGGGCAAGAGGAAGAAGAAACCTGACCCCAACATCATTCTTCCAATCTCAACAATGAGGGCCAGGATCTCTGACACCCACCCTACCTCCTTGAGAGGAACCCCAGAGGGAAAAGAGGCTTGCCACCAGGAGGAAGAAATACAAGAAAAGACAGAGAATAGTTCCTAGAGATTTATTTTTATTTATTTATTTTTAGAGACAGAGTCTCACTTTGTCACCCTTGGTAGAGTGCCATGGCATCACAGTTCACAGCAACCTCCAGCTCTTGGCCTTAGGCAATTCTCTTGCCTCAGCCTCCCAAGTAGCTGGGACTACAGGCGCCTGCCACAACAGCTGGCTATTTTTTTTTTAATTGCAGTTTGTCCAGGGGTGGGTTCAAACCCATCACCCTCGGTATATGGGGCCGGCACTCTTCTCACTGAGCCACAGGCACCACCCTAGAGATTTATTTTATTTTATTTTTATTTATTTATTTAGAGACAAGAGTCTCAATTTATCACCCTTAGTAGAGTGCCATAGCGGTGTCATAGCTCACAGCAACCTCCAACTCCTAGGCTTAGGTGATTCTCTTGCTTCAGCCTCCTGAGTAGCTGGGACTTCAGGCACCTGCCACAACGCCCGGCTATTTTTTTGTTGCAGTATGGCCAGGGCTGGGTTTGAACCTACCACCTTCGGTATATGGGGCCGGTGCCCTACTCACTGAGCCACAGGCGCCACCCTAGAGGTTTATTTTAATCTTTATTTTCTTCTTGTTTCTTCTTTGGCTTTTGCTCTGCCATATATACATACATATTCAAATAATCAAGCAGCCCAAACACAGAGATTATGAACCAATCAGCAGGAAGTCAGAAGTCCCACCAGTCTACTCCTCCCCCATCCTTCCATCTGATGCAGTCAAGTGCCTAGGAGGAAGACACAAAGCATGAAAGAGGATCCTTAATAAGGAGCTTCCAGGAAAAATCAGAGATCGCAGAGGATATTGTTGCCCAGCCAAAGAGCTGACAAAGCTCCAGCCCTTAACTTTTCAAAGCAAATAGCCACAGCCTCCTCCCAGCTCTGCTGTCACAGAAGTTAATTACTTGTTGCATCAGCACTGTCAGAATCATCCTGGGGGAAGAAAAAGAAAAAAGCATTTGGAGTCACTGCAAAGAGTGAACTTTTTTTTTTTTTTTTAGAGACAGAGTTTTAATTTGTCGCCCTCGGCAGAGTGCTGTGGTGTCACAGCTCACAGCAACCTCCAGCTCTTGGGCTTAGGCAATTCTCTCTTACCTCAGCCTCCCGAGTAGCTGGGACTACAGGCGCCTGCCACACTGCCTGGCTTTTTTTTGTTGCAGTTTGGCCAGGGCCGGGTTCGAAACTGCCAACCTCAGTATATGGGGCCAGCGCCCTACTCATTAAGCCACCGGAGCCACCGAAGAGTGAACATTTATTTGTATTCACAAACACTGCTCATTCCCTTCTCTCTAACCTTCATTTTCTGATATTCTAAACCACATGACTTTGGTAGTTAAGAAGGAAGGATTTTAACTTTGGATAATAAACCATGGGTACTCAATAAATAGAACTCTGTCATGCATCATTTAAAGTCATAATTTTAACTATTTACTGCTGTAAAGAAACTCAACAGGGCTGGGTCTGTCCTAGGATGGAGAAATAGAGGAGATGGAAGAGAAGAGGGTTCTGCTGGGGGTTTCTAAATCCTGGGGAAGGATATTAGACCTCTTACTTCAAATTCAAATTTGACCTCTTACTTAGATTCAAATTTGGTTAACATGCACTGAGAACTACCGTGTGTAGGAAATGGGAAAGGAGCTTTAAACGTGTTGTATCTCCTCTTCGACCTAGCAATTCCACTTTTTAAGGGATAAAATGAAATTGAAGGGTGAAGGGGAAGGCTTTACTTACATCCAGGTCATCCATGGCAGGGGGTGGTTTCTTGGTGCTGACCTTCTTCAAAAGCTAGTGGGAAGAGAAAAAAGTCACAAGAGAGAAGCGGGGTGAAGGAAGAGCAATCTGCATATTGAGGGGCCACAGGAGAATGGTCCCAGCCAAAGCCAGTCATCATCTTCTATTATTTTTATTTTTATTTTTTTTT